CCTTCTTCACTGATTAAACATACCAAATAGACCTGTGCTTTGATGGTATCAGTTGTTATTGTCGCCTTAAATCCTGCCTATTTAATGTAAGGTGTAAGTCATACCTTTTGTCAAAAATAGAAAAAAAGAAAATAGAGATCTTATACATATATGTAAAAAAAAAAAAAAAAAAAAAAACTGTGTCACTTGCATTAAAAGATTCTCTGTGGATAGGTAAATCTTCATACTTGATTCTCTTTTAGTCTAGTTCCTTGGAAACCTAAAACAGGCTTCTATCATTTCACTTGGTTAACTGCCAGCAAATAAATATGACCCCCACTCTCTCCCTAAGAGGAAAAAGAAGAGAAAAAAGTAAATAAATGCACGCACAGGCACACACTAAAGCAGGTCCAATAATTAGGACAAACTATATTTCCATTGATATATTTGGCACTAACTTGGTAGTATGTAATATGCTGGCTACTTTGTTCATTATCTTAATCGTGCAATACACAGCTTTTAAAATGTAAAGCAAGTGTTGTATAGAACATTGCACAGATGGCACTATTAGTTACAAGGCATATATATTCATTGTGCAGCTTAACACACTGTGTATATAGAACTTATCCACTCAAGTTCTTAGTGAGAGAATAAAATTGGCAAGAGAAAAGGCAAACACACTGCAAGATCTGATTAAATAAAATTTTCAAAACGAGCAGCAGCTATGTAAAGAACAATACATTGAAAGGCACAATACTTTTACAGTGCATGACTAAATACATTTACAATCAGCACCTTCAAACTCTGAATCATCACCTTAACAAACTGATATGTGTGCTAACATTACCAGTATCCATATCTACATCACAACCCATTAAAAATAATTACATAGTCTCAAACATGTACATATACGTGCTGAAAAAAAAACTTATACATGACATAAATTACCAGAGATTTTACTGCAACAGTAAACAGAGAACACTTATTTAACTACTACACTGACAATTAGGTTACTCCCGCCACAAGTTGAAGCTGGCTTTGTCCATTAAATATAATATTACCCAAGTTTCATATCACATCTGATTACAATTACCATTACAAATGTTTAAATTAGGTAGACTGACCAGCTGATAATTGAGGTCACTTACAACAGACTAAAAGTTCTGAGCCTCTACACTGGCACAATATTGACAACCAAAGAGTTTGAGAGCAGCAGACAACAGGTTTTTGAAGAAGACTGACATTTATTTGGATAAAACCAAGTCAGTGCCCTTTCAAAAGACTGGTAGAATTCCAGTGTTACGTGACAACAGGGAAAACAAGAAATAAGAAGAAAGGGAGGAAGGAAAGAGGAAGAAATCATCTAAAATGCATCAGTAATTCACCAATAACATCAAGTGTCACCATGATTCATAATCTAATGGCAATAATAACTTCATAATAAAAATTTACAAATGACTTAAAAAAAAAAGATGAAGAAGAAGAACATATATACACAAATAGAAATATTATTTCTTTTGTTCTTTGACTTTCTTCTATTGTCTTCTGCTCCAAGAGTATTATGAAACTATAAAAAATATATTACTCCAATTAACTTTCAACCACAATGACACACTATTATAATTACACTAGTACAGATATACAATCAATAAGTGTAAAACCAGCACTATTCACGTCTTCTTCAATATGGTTACTTGAGAATGCTTTTCAAGATAAATCAATATTAAAATGATGCATATGACATAAAGGAGTATAACAGTAAAGGCTTTTAGAAAAGGCCAAAGGCCATAGCATTCAGTAAATGTTGATATTACTGTCCACAGGTAAAAATATATTTTTGTTTCTCAAGTGACCCTAAATTATAAATGCAGATATTTGAGTCCATGAGTGCATGTTGCAATATTTTGGATACAGGGAGCCACTGAATAACTGAATTTTACTTTATATACTTACAGACATAAATATACATACAATCTGAATATTTGCATTTGCTTAGGCACTGCCATGAAAGCAGTTGCATCTCTTCAGGGTATCAGTCCCTGTATTGCATATCTCTATAGCACAAAGTACCATGCATACATAACTAAGTATAATTATATAGGATACACATATCAATAAGTATAAAAATACATCCTTACCAAGAATATTTACAGTGTCATAAACCTAAAAATCAGTCAGTGGTTGTATGTGTTCTGTGATTTTTACTCTTTTCTTTATTTTTCGCCATCAGGCATTGCAAAGAAAGTATCTAAACACATTTCATGAGTAACGAGGAATCAAAACCTTTCGTAACTAATTAAGAGTATCCGTTAACTGAAATAAAGCGTCTGAAATTCTAATATCAGTTCTTTCCAATCATATCGAAACAAATATCACATGTACATTTGCATGATCATATGCACACGTACTAATAATATCAAATAATCCTCCTCGAAAAAAAAAACAAAGTGCATTTTAAGCCGAGTGACACTAAACCCTAAAGATTCGACTTCTATTAAGCATTAAGATTCCAGGAAACCAT